ATATTTTGAAATCCTCGCTTTACAGTACTGAAATGAATTTCAGAGAAAATATAACCTGCCTACACACATAATTGAAATCAACATAATGCCCTAAGTGTAATATAAAGGAGAAATAGATGGATAGTAATTTATAACAAAATAGTGTGTATTTCACTAAATCCTAAGGTGTGACTATGCTGGAAAGTTTAATGAAGTCATCACAGAATCACCATGAGTAAGACAGCTACAAAAGCAGTCTGACACAGGTGTATGGTATTGGAAATTCAAACACTATAAATGGTGTTCCCATTTATTATGATGATTTCTTTAAAAAATGATGCATAATTTGGGAAAGTTCTTTATGAAACAAAAGGCAATCTTCCCTCAACCTATAAGATAGTTGTATACCTAGAATATTCAGTCTATTGATACTGTACAAAAATATTTTTTCTTATAGATAAGAAAAATTTAGGCTCTAGGCTTGGTTAATAACCAACAGGGTCTTCCCTGTAAGAATGTCCAGTGACTTTTCTATTCAGGAATATGGTATAATTTTTCCATGGTACAGACAGTGTAGAGTGATTAGCTTTTGTGTGTTTGTCCACTAAATCCAGTAGTGCCCATCTCCCACCAAATTTTCAAAATGCCTCCTAAGGGTCAGTAGCTCTTCTGTTGGAATCATTATTTTAGACTTGGTGGGATCCAGAAAAAACTCCCATTTCTGCTGGGAACTGAAGAACTCCAGTTATTTTGTATGATTAATGCTTGGCACCACTGAGGAGCTGTCCATGGTCCTGCTTAGTTTTTGATTACTATGGAGTGAAGTGTTTGTTGTTTTGTGGCCCCATGGACTGTAGCCCACCAGGCTCCTCTGCCCATGGAATTCTCCAGGCAAGAATACTGGAGTGGGTTGCCATTCCTACTCCAGGGGATCTTCGTGACCCAGGGATCGAACCTGTGTCTCCTGCACAGCAGGTGTATTCTTTACCACTGATCCACTAAGGAAACCCTGATTACTATGAATTTGGTTAATTTCAAGTCCTAGTTCCATTATGATCGCTGTTTCATTATGGATTCCTGATCCAAGGCTCTAGTTAATAGGTTTAGTTTTACCTGCAATAAGAATTAGGTTTGCAACAGCCAGGCCGACAGCTAGATCTGGCCCTGCTTTGGACTGAAAACCATCCTGATCAGTGGTATTGCTTTGGCTGAACCTTATTGCTGTTATCAAAAGGAGGGCAGGATCTTTATTTCTAAGATGTTTCACTGAAAAGTCATTGAAGAAGGATTTCACTAGTTGTCTACCTTTTAGCTGGGTAGAACACAGTTGTTTTCTCAGATTTGGATTTAGTAGGGCCTGCGATTTCCATGGTTGGTCCTGTATTTGTGAAAAGCCTGTCAATGCTATGCTTTCTGTAGCCAAAGCACTTAATAGTATTTCCCAAAGTGTGAGACTTGTAGGAGTTCATCTGGTACATGGATATGGCAGTAAGTAGCACTGGCTCATTTGGTGAAATAATTAATCCTTTCTCAATTTGCTTTCATTCCTTTTAGGATATCAAGCAGAAAATCTCAGTTTGGGGCTGGTGTGTCTTTAACACCTTTCTAACACTTGATAATCTCTTATTTTAACAAAGAAAGGGCAGGCTTCAGGCTCAGAGCCCACAGCAGGGGACAGTATTGACTAGACTTTAATGGCCATGTTTTCTCTGCTTTATAATTATTTTCCTGATTACTCCACATTTATGGAAGGTGATACTGATTTTCCATTTTGGTAGTGATACCAAATTTTCTTTCAAAATCAATTAATTTTAGTAAAAAGAAGAGCCAATTTCAAGAAGTACATTTAGCACAGGTGTTACACAGATGTAGCTTGAAAAGAGGGTGATGTGTGTAGAATTGAATTTTAGGAAGCATTTCCATCTTGTGTCAGTTGGGGGCTGGTACCTGGGTGTAAAACAAGTTCAGGGGCAGAGGCAAGCCATACTCTCAGGATATTGGCTGGTTGTCAGTTCATTAAATTACTGGTTTCTTACACAGACTCACTCCAGATTATTTACTATTCTTGTTGCTGTCTTTGTCTCTGGGTAGGGAAGCAGCATGTTAATGCCTCATATAATCGGTGATGGATGGCCCCAGTCTGTCAGTCTCTGACACTTTGAGTGTTCAGTAATTTCATTATCTGCCCATTTCTCTACTGTTTGCAGCCTAGCACTTAGGGTAGCATCCATCCCTAATGACATGGGATGGGCTGAGATTCCCAAGAATCATTCTGGCTTAGAAGAGGTAAATTTCCATGAAAGAAGGCATTTCCCATTCCTCCCTCCCCAGTCTAGAACAAAGCAAGAAGCTGGATCAAGAGTATGTGCTTCTGTGAAAAATAAAAGGAGAAGAATAAGTAGCCTAGGTAAGAGGTCTGTAAATTGAAACCTTTAGTGACTAATGACAATGATTGAGGTAAATGTTTTCTAACTCAGAATGAAGCTAAAAGTGTTTTTTTCCCCCAAATATGTTTTTGTAAAACAACAAATGTCAATGTAGATCAGACGCCCACCAAATAAATAAGATCAAAGGAGCTGCATTTGCCATTGCTTTGATGGAGCCAAGCTGTTTGCTAAGCCAAACTTTGCCAACTTTTCTTTTCCGAGAAAGCTCTGAATCAAACCTGATTTAAAAAAAAATATTTAGAGAGAGTCCAAACATGTGTTGGCTGTAAACATTTGACTAATTTCTATGTGCCATATGCATTTATCTCACATAGTCTCAATAGCAAACTGTAACTTCAGAGAGCTTAAGCCTCAGAGAGTTTAAAGTTAACCACTCAAAGTCACACAGCAAACAAGGTGAGACAAGGATTGGAATTTCATATCTCCAGCTATTGTCTCTACATCTAAAGTCTATGCATTTTGGACTTAGTTGCCTTTTTCTAGCCTGGGTGTAAATACCCCCTTCTCCCTTTAATTGTAAAATTCTCCCAAAGACGAGAGAAGATTGTCACTTGAGAGATTGCAAAAAAAATCATCTTAGGTATTTTAAAAAAAATAAAAGAACGAACATACACAGGTTTCTGAGTCCCAACTCAGATCTACTGAATCAGCATTTCTAAGGGTCAGGCCTTATCTTTTAAATCAGCTCAGTTAGTGCTTATAGTCATCACGAATGTTTGAGAAGCAGTGCATAATCTCATGCAATCCCATGGGGCATTGCATGAGGGCAATCCCATGGTTGATATTAGTTGATATTAAAAATATTCAATGACCAGGGAAGGGTTGTGCTCTGCCTAATCAGAAAGGACCTTTGCTATAGCTGAAGTAGAATCTTAGAGATCCTCTCATGCCAAGCCTTAGTTATAGGATGTGAGCAAAGCTGAAAGGTCTAAGCAGCATGTCTGGATGGTAGCTTGGAGCAAAAGCTTTTTAACTAATGGGGCTGAGAGTATGTCAATATTTTAACTGATGTGGCTATACCAGTGGGTTTTCCAGTTGAGTATCAGCCCTGGTAGCCTTCATAAAAGAAAGTATAAGCAAATGGTAAGGGCTTCTTTTTCTATAAATTCCATATTTCTCAAAACTTTGAGCCATCTGCATGTGAATCGCAGGGAAGCTCTTTTTAAAATGCAACTTTGAAACCACTACACACCTATGAGAATGGCAGAAATCCAACACACTGACAACACCAAATGCTGGCGAGGATGTGGAGCAACAGGAACTCTCGTTCATGGCTGGTGGGGATGCAAAGTGGTACAGCCACTTTGGAAGGCAGTTTGGCAGCTTCTTATAAAGCTAAACATACTCTCACCATATGATCCAGCAATCATGCTTCTTGGTACTTAACCAAATGAGTTCAAAACATATGTCTACACAAAACCCTGCATATGCACGTTTATAGCAGCTTTGTTCATAATTGCCAAAACTTGGAAGCAACCACGATATCCTTTAGGAGGTAAATGGATCAACAAACTGTGGTACATCCATACAATGGAATATTATTTGGCATTAAGAAGAAATGAACTACCAAGCTATAAAAAGACATAGAGGAACCTAAAATGCATATTACTAAGTGAAAGAACCCAGTCTCAAAAGACTACATACTGTATGATTCCAACTATATGACGATTTGGAAAAGGTAAAACCATAGAGACAATAAATAGATTGGTGGTTGCCAGAGGTTAAGGGGAAGGGAAGAAGAAAATATTTTTAGGGCAGTAAAAGAATTCTGCATGATATTATCATGGTGGATACAGATCATTACACATTTGTCAAAATGCAGTGAATATACAAAACTAAGAGTAAAGGCAAGCTATGGTTTTGAGGTTAAACTGAGTCAATCACTGAAAGAACCTGAGTATGTAAATTTCCTTCATCACTTCTGGTTCCCCTCATGGCTGTGCTAATCATCCCCTCATGCCACTAGTTTCAAAAAATGCCTTTGCTATGAAGTCTTCCCTGATTAGCTAGCCAGGACTAACTTCTCCCCTAATTTTAGAAATTAGTGGCTCTTTTATTACCTCCCTTCACCTCGTATTCATGTCTTTTCACTTCCTTTAGTAGATAGAGGCAGCTTTAATGAGGTGGTGAGGGGCACAGTCCGATGGCCTGGGTTTGAATTTCATTTCAACCACTTATTGGTGTCACCTTGGAAAGTCACTCAGCCTGTCTTCCTCATCCCAGACTTTCTCATCTGTAAACATGGGGGTATTAAGAGGGACTGTCTTATATGGAGCTTTAGTTAGAGCAGATCAGCTTGTATTATTCTTTTCCCACTTTCCCTGCTCCCTTGGAAGAAGATAGACTAGGACAGAGGATGGGCTCTGCAACCTTTAGGACCTTTGGTTTTGATCTTAGAGAAATTAATCTTTTCAAATCATAATTTTTTCATTTGTAAAATGAAAGGAAAAATGCCTACTTTGTCATGTAATTCTGATGGTGAAAAATATCACCCCTGGCCCTGCCAGTGCATTTTTCGCTTTTCTATTGTTATTCATGCTGCCATAAACATAACTGTGTGAATGAATGAATTACCTATGGCCATGCAGCACAGAGAGAATCTTTGAGGGTAAGATACAAATCTGTTGTGAACATAATTGTTACATCTTGGAGCTTTCGTCTGGTCATGTTTGTTTTGAAGCAGAGCCTGAAAGGAGGAAAAAAAAAACATTAAGGGATGCAGTTAGTTCTCATAGCAAAATTGTACATGAATTTACAAATATGTAGAAGTTTACAGAGTCATTGTGGTATATGTCAAGGGTAAGCTTCAGACACACTTAAAAAATTCAAAAGTTTTACCACTTCTGACGGTCTTAAATTTAAACACTGATAAGAATAGACTTTACAATGATTTTGAAAGATCCTGGCTGCTTTGATGCTAAAATGGGAATTGTATTCTCTGAGATCTACTTCCCATTGCCAGCTCACTAAAGCAATTGCTCACATTCTCTCTTTTCACTCTATTATATTTTAAGACATTTTAAATATTTGGGTGAATCATTCTTCTTGGTAATTAGATGTAGTATTAGAATAGCTCTTATATTCCAATGCATTACGTTTCTTTTATATACCTCAACATCATCATTTTCAGTAATGACCTAGTATTTAATGGTGGTTTCACAAAGATTATGGATTCCTGAAGCCAAGAGAGGGTGTTGGAGGAACTCACATCTCCTTATTCTGCCTTTGCTTTACAACTGGATCATCCAAGATGAGAAAATAGGAAAGAAGAAAAACGAAAACAGCCTCAACAGAGATAAAACCTTATGGGGTTTCTCAACATCCTGTAATAGTTCTTAGAATTGAGATGGCACTTTTCAGTCAGAGCTGATAGATCACTTTGGGATTTAAAGAACTAGATACTAGGCTGTGGTTTCCCCCAGGAAATAATAGCTTATCCCGAGAATAGCCTGGAAGCAGCACTGTCAGGAAATGGAGAGTGAGCAGGACTGTGAAATGCTAGTTCCAGTTCTGACGCGCTGAGTGAAAGCAAAGACAGGAAAGGAACTGTGCTGTCATAGCCCGGACTAAGTTGGGATCTGTTGTGCATCTTCAGAATACTTTTCCTTGAACAATGAAGCATAAACAGAATCTGCTACCATTTAAAGCTGCTGACAACTTCTGAAGGTCAAATAGGTCTCCAATTGGTTTTAGGGCCAGGAGTCATGTGCTCAGAGAAGATCTTGCAGGTGGATAGGAGGCACCGAATTGAGTTTTTGGTGCCTGGACCTGGTTAGGTCCTGCAGACCTGGTTAGTTAGGTCATTGGCGCCTGTTACCATGGTCCCCAGAGCACTGAGGCTGGAACGAGATGGAGATTTGTCTCCCATGTCCAGGTGTTGGGTGGTCCAGGGAGGGGAGGCGACTCTGACCACAAGGTGAGTGGGACCCAGAGTTTTTCCATCTTGTTGTTCTACTGGCCTCTCTGCTTTCCCATGTGCTTGAAGCTAGCTACTACCATGTCTATACTGGTGGTGATGTAGAGAGCAGTCCATTTCTTTTTGAGGAACTAACTCAGACATTGCACATGTCACTTCCACTCTCATTCCCTTGGCAAAAAAAAAAAAAAACAAAAAAAACCAACTTAGTCTCATGATCACTTCTAGTTCAAGGGAAGCTGGAAAATAAAGTTTCTAGCAGGATAAAGGCTAAATGTGGTGGGAGGGGTTCCAGTTCTAAAAGGAAGAAAGGGAAGCACATTGGTGGTGGTGTTACAAATCTCGTCCCTTGTTCAGTCAGTGGCCATCTAATTCTGCTGTCACATCCCTCAGGGTTCCTCACATTCATCACAGAAGCCACCTAAGGGGGAACAGAGAAGCTGTGGGGTTGAACCTTCAGGCTCCAAACCCCTCCTCAAATGCCTCATCTTGATTTTGCCTTTTTTAAATGCATTGGATTTTCACATCAGTTTCCTTTAAAGAGAGGCTTCCTAGGCTAAAATATTTCTGAAAACTTCTGCAGTAAGCACTTTTCATAATCCTCTGTACTACCCATCACTAGCAATTTTCCCCCTCTGCCTCATCACCTCTCTCCCCAGTTTCTGGGTGTCTCTGGGCTGCTGTTTGTGAAGAATGCATTTCTGTTCCCCTGTGAGTCCCCAGGCTCATTTACTCACTCAAGCACTTACTGCAGGTGAGTGACCCCATTTTTGCTTCTGGATTTTCTTGAAAAGCAGTATTTTTTTTTCTCCTTAATTCTTTTCTCCTCCAACTCTTCCTTGGAGGGTCCTCTGCCTCCTCTAGGACTCAAGGTCTCCCTCCTTGACTAAATTTACTACTGTCACAGAGATCTTCTCTAACTCCTGGCTAAAGCCTGTTTTAAACTCTAGGGAAAGAGCCATTATATCATTATTTACCACCCAATGCTAGGACCCAAATCAATGCCAAGAAATTGCTTTGGGATGTCAGTCCCCAAGTTGCTGGGTATACATCATCCATTTATTTCTAGTTATCTGGTTACCTTGTAAGGGTAAAGTGTTCTTCTATTTTAGTAATGATGCTTTGAAATTGCTTAGTGCTTTACAATTTCCACAGCTTTATTTTTTTCTCCCCACATAGAGTATCTCGTGTGATTCTAACAAGCACCTGGAAGGTAGGATTTTCATCATCCTCAGTTTAAAGATGAGAATACAGGTGGTAATCAAAAGTCAAGGGACCTGGCCCAAGGCCTCACAACTGCTAAGTGGCAGAATGAAGGTTTGAATTCAGTTCTTTCAACCTCACCCTTCATGTATATGGTCTCTTGGTAATATGGATTGTAGAAAGGATAAAACAGGATGTTGAAAGTTTCTTTCATGGTCCTTGCTCCAAAGGAAGAGCTCAAAGTAAATTTTAGTTTTGCTTCTCTATTACTATACCTGATGCTTTTGTAAAGTACCTCACTTACATTATTTCATATACTGTTATAGCCCTGGCAGTGGACAGGGTGGACATGGTTATGTGCATTATACAGCTCTGGATACAGAGGCTAAAATAGATGAAGTGGCTCTACTATTGTCACATAATTAACAACCAGATCTGAAGTTTAGTGCACTCCCTTTCCATGAACTGCATCATAGAAGGCGGCACATTAATGCATGTATTTTCAATGTTGATGTTCAGTCTTTAGATGGTAATGGAGATCTCGATAGAGAGAGGATAAGATTTGAACACTGATTATCATTTCCTGAAGCCAGAATAGAGGCCAGATCATATGAACTGGGAAAACTTATTTGATTTCTACCAGGAATGAACAGAAGGGTAGGTGTGAGCTCCTTTTGTGCCTTAGGAAAGGTCTGAGTCTAAAGAAATCTGAAGTTTCATTCTTTCATTTGTACATTGATTTATTCATTATTCATTCATATAAGTAGGCTTTAGATAGGTAGACAGATAGGGAGAGACAAACCCTGAGCACCATCCTTAGCTGGTTCACGGGTGCTACATGGAACTGTTTTTCAGGAAGTCCACTCAGATGTAATAAGCACCTACTCTGTGAGTGATCAGGGTACTGCAAACCTTGGTCCTTGCACTACAAACCTTGGTCCTTGCACTTATATTCAAGTCTTACCCTTGAAAATAAGTAAAGTGACATGTACACACAGAACTAATACAACTAGAATGTGATTTCTTTATAGAAGAAGCAGAAATGAAATTGTGTGGAGAGCACCAAGGACAATGAGATTAATTCCAGTGAGAAGGTTAGGGGGAGGCTTTCTGAAATAGGATCCATGTCAAGAGGGAACATGAGCAAGGTTCAAAAGAGGAAAATGCAAGGAATAGTCAGAAAAATCTCAATTTTCCCAATGTTTTTCAGAGTGGTTTTGGCTAGAAGACCGTAGTACCAAAGGTGAGTTTGGTCCATTTCAGGAATTTTGAAGTGGGCTGAAGAGTCACCCTAAGGGGGTAGGGCTTCTCTTGGAGCTGTAGGGAGTAAGGGGTAATAGGAGGTAGAAGGCTCTAAGATTGAGACCAGTCACAATCACTTCTTTCTGGAGGGTGGGATCTGGGTCAGGGAGTACAAAGAAAGGACCTAACGCGATGGATGAGCACAGTGCCCTCCTTCTAGCTGACACTCCATTCCCATCACCTTCCACCCTCCGCATGGCTATCATCTTTCACTTTTTGCAGCCCAGGACCCCCCTCTCTCTCCATGCCCTCTGCACCCTCACCCGAAGCTTCTCTCTCTTCCTCCTGGTCCCTCTCCCCTCTCACCATTTAACCTTTTCTTCCTCTCTCTTTTTCATGAGTAAATTTCAGACTTTGTTTTTTTCAACCTCTGTCTCAGATACCCTGCAGATGATATGCAGGGTACTTGCTTACTGCAGTGATGATGATCTCAGTCTTACTGCAGATGACCTCAGTCTTTATTGTAAAGGCCATGGAATAAGTGTGGTAGTTGGGAAAAAAGTTATGAACATTTGCAGATGAATATGATAAATAATTTTTTATCACTTTTAAACTTCCTGTGAAGTGGGTCAAGTTGTCTCTAGCTTCTGGGTAAGGAAACTGAGGCACAGAGAGACCAAGAATCCTTGCTAAGATCGCATGGCGAGTTATTAGTAGCTTCAGGAACCTAAGCAAAATATTTGTGACTCAACCTCATACTAGGTGTTTCTTCCATTTTAAGCTGTTTCCTCTGAGTCAGTTTCCTATGTACCCAGAGGGTAAGTCTAGCCTTAGAGAGATGGGGAGCTTAGTTACAAGTGAGACAGTAGGATTATGAATAATAACCTCAGATAACAGCAGCATGATGTAGCTCTAGAACCCTCTTCAGTAGCAGTGAAACTGGAATGGTCTTGCTGGTGACATTGTAAATCAAACCAACTATTTTGGAAAGCAGTCTGGTAGGATATACCCAAAGCGATAACATGAATAATGACTTTTGATTATGATTAAGTAATATCACACATTGGAATTTATCCTAAGGACTTGTCTGACAGTGAAAAGATGCTAAATGCATGAAAAAAATCACATTTTTTAAAAAGGAAACATACTAAGGTATGTTCCCTGATAATAACAGTGATCATTATGAAGACTTTAGGGTTTCCCTGGTGGCTCAGATGGTAAAGAATCCGTCTGCAATGCAGCAGACCTGGATTTGATCCTTGATGGGGGAAGATTCCCTGGAGAAGGTCATGGCAATCCACTCCAGTAATCTTGCCT